AGCCTCGCCAAGCACCGTTCGTCTTCCCTTGATCGAGGAGGAGAGAGCGGCGAAGCTGCGTCGTCCCATTCCGGCACAACCGTCGGGAACAGCCACGCCTTCCCAGCCCCGACCTGTGCAAGAAGCGACCGGACAGAACAGATCGCTCAGACACCACCTGCTCCGGCCCAGAGGTGAAGAAAAGGAAGTAGATTCAGGTCGACGAGTCAGAGAACGAATCTGAGGAAGAACCCTGAGGTCGCGATAGGACATCAAGGAGGAGGTCGGGCAAGGAACCGTGGACGAGGCGGTTGCTGCCGACAAGGCGAAGGACGCACTAGTGCTGGACTCCTTGGGGAGCCTGCCGAATACCTGCAGGATAGTCTATTCTCTGTCGAGTGTGGGCATCGGAGTCGTATGATGAGTTCGCCGACACGGGCGATGACCTAATGACCACGTCGTTCCAGCATCTAAGCAAGGTAAACGACCTGCTCTTAAAGTTTGTCCGCGTTTCTATTTAATTCACTCTTGCTCGCAGGCTTTGCTTACGATGAGGATGTCTATGGAGAAGACTCGGCTAGGGGCCGCGAAGGGGGCAAGCGACCTAAAGGAGGAGGTCGCGAAGTCAAGCACAGCCTGGAGTCCGTCGAAGCGGAAAGAAAGCAAGCATTTGAAGCGGCGAACAGGTACCTGAACCAAAAGGATGCTGCTATGCAAACAGACTTCCAAAAGGCAGAGCTTGAACGACGTCGCGAGGAGAGTGAATGAGCTTCAAAGGACAATCGCTAGGCTCTCTAAGGAGGTCGGAGAAAAGGACTAGGAGATCCAGAAGACCTCCATATGGGCTCAGCAAGCTGAACAAGAAAGGGAGGCCTTCGAAAAGGAAAGGCAAGCTCTCGAGGCGAACTCTAGGAGAGTCAGGAAAAAATCGCTTCACTGACTGAAGAAATGCGGATCCAGTCAGAGGAGATGGAGGATAAGGCCGTCGACTGGGCAATCGGTCTATTTATACCCTGCAACCAAAGAACCCAGATTGGATATTTTCGAACTCCCAGAGGGGTGGCAAGAGACCTTGCGGGTTCTGGCGGGGAGGAGATGATCAAGCAGCGGCGGCCACCGACGATCCGACCAGGCAGAGGGTTTGGTCCTGCTTCGAAGGATCCCCCCGACCCGCCATAATGTAACGAGTCTGACTACGTTGAGATTAGGGTCTTAATTTTTGTTATACATAAATGAAAATACATTTTGCTTTCAATTGCTGTTCGCTTTTTCATACATAAGTGTAGTTTACAATTCAGTTTTACATAGGCACATATTACATACGAATTCTTACATGCGAACAGAATACATGCAAACTGTTTCCAGCGAACAAAATAATATTTATATCAAAGAGGAAACTAACAAAAACTAATTTGAGAGCCGAGTTCGGGATTACTGATAGTATGGCCGGAGGTGCTCGGCATTCCAAGCTCAGGGTACTTGGAAACCGTTCAATCTTTAGATGGTAAGTCCCCGGTCTAATACCTTGTCAACCGGTACGGTCCTTCCAGTTAGGTCTAGTACCCCGCACTTGGCTCTCTGGTCCAAAGGAGAACTTCCTTTAGCACAAGGTCTCCGACCTGGAAGTTCTTCGCTTAACCTTTGAATCGAAAAACCTCTTTGCACGCGCTGGTAGGCTGCTATCCTTAGCGAAGCCTTGTTGCGGTGCTCTTCAACGAGATCCAAACTTGCCCTCATAAGTGCTTCATTTTCAAACTCGTTGTACAAGTCTCTCCGAAGAGAACCAGTTCCCACCTCTACAAGAATCATTGCTTCGCAGCCATAGGCTAGCGAAAAGGGGGTTTCTGAGATGGAAGTTCTGGAGTTGTCATGTACGCCCATAAGACTTCGGGGAGATCATCAGCCCAATTTCTTTGGCTGCCCCAAGTTTGGCCTTTATAGTGTGCTGATGGTCTTGTTGACAGCTTCAACTTGGCCATTTGCTGCGGTCTGGCGAATGAGGCAAATTTTTTATGGATGCTCAGCTCGTCGCAGAAATGTTTAAACTCCTTGTTATCGAATGCTTTTCCATTGTCCGAGATGAGGGTGTGAGGAATTCCGTGCGGCACACTATGTTCTTGAAAACGAAGTCTTTCAGCTTTCTGGTCGTGATCGCGGCCAGAGGTTCAGCTTCCACCCATTTTGTGAAATAATCTACCACAACCACAGCATACTTGACCCCTCCCTTTCCAACTGGCATGGGACCGATAAGGTTGATCCCCACATGGAAAATGGCCAGGGGCTAGTCATCGTTATTAGCTCGTGCGAGGGGGCTCGCGGAATGTTCGCGAACCGCTGGCACTTATCATTTCTTGACAAAAGTATGCGTCTTTCTTGGACCGGGGCCAATAATATCCTTGACGAACAACCTTGTTCACAAGAGATCGGCAGCTGTGTGGGTACCAAAGATCCCTTCGTGAATTTCCCTCATGATGTAGTCTGCTTCTTCAATGGTTACACATCGGAGGAGAAGGGCACTGAATCCTCTCTGTACAGCTGGTCCCGATGAGTGTGTAACGAGTAGATCTTGCTCGCAGGACCCTTGCCTCGACCTTGTCGTCTAGCAAGGTCCCACCTTGAGGTACTGAAAATGGGAGTCATCCAGGAATCGGTTGAGTCACATTTACGGCCTGTTCGGCTGAGTTGATAGTCGGAGCATCCACGAAACGAACAGGAAGTGTTCTAGAGCCTTGAATCCAATGACGAGGCTATTTTTACTAGGCGTCTGTATAGAGTTGCTATCTCTGGGGATCTGAGTGATTTCAAAGTGTTAAACGACCCAAGAGCGGTCTTAGCTTCCTTCAGGTAGCGAACCATGTTCTCTTCTTTGGCTTGGTATTCCCCTAAAATTAGGTTGACGACCAGCAGGAGTCGCTGTAAAGCGATCGCGGTGCACCCATTTTTTTGGCAAGTCGCAATCCGGCGAGCAGGGCTTCATACTTTGCCTCCATATTGGTCGCCTTAAAACCGAACGGAGAATACATATAATTCGAGCCCCTGGGCTTAGAAGGAGAAGACCCGCACCGGCTCTTTCCTGTTCGACGACAGTCGACGTAGAGGGTCCAGGTTGACAAGTTTTGAATATTTTCTACACGACTTCGCTAGGCTGTGCTCGCTTGGGAGATAGGAAAATTCTGAGACGACGAAGTCTGCAACAGCTTGCCCTTAATGGTCGATCTGGGCTTGTACTTCAGGTCGAACTGGCTCAATCCATGGCCCATTTGAGCAGTTTACCGAGGCTTCTGGTTCTGAGGACCTGCCTGAAGGGGTATTAGTCATTAGTTGATTGTATGGGCGTGGAAGTAAGGTCACAGCTTTCTGGATGCGATCAGCAGAGCAAAGGCTAGTCGCTCCATTTCTGGATACCGCATCTCGGCATTTGAGCGCTTGCTTGCATAATACACTGGCCACTGCACCTTTCCTCTTCCGTACTAAAGCTGCACTGAGCGAACTGAGAGACGGACAGGTGAGATGAGCAAGATTTCTATGGAAGAGGCTTAGAGAGGAGAGGTGGCTTCCCTAGGTGTTCTTTTATACTCTGGAATGCTGTTCGCATTCGGGAGTCCATTCAAATTTCTTGTTGGCCTTCAGAACATTGAAAATGTTAAGCCAGCGGTATGTTAGCCTGAACCATCACGAAAAGAATCCTCCAGAAACTTTGATGGAAGAACATTAGCTCCTTCACATACTAAACCATGAAACTCCTGGTTCGGTTCTACCTTGTGCCACAGCAAGTCAATATCAAACATCAAGCCAAACTAACAAAAAACATTTTCCCATATACACAAAAATATCTTCTGTTTAATACCGAATTTAAATTCAATTCTTTGTCTCTGAAACCAGATTAGATGTATAAATGTTTTCAGATACAATTTTAACAGAGAAATAATTTGAAATACTATATTAGGCGCATTCTCAAAGTATTAAATTATACGCAAAGTTTTTATAACCATATACCTGAAAGACCAATCTGATGCCATCACGAGTATCGACGGCAACTGGCATACACGAACAGAAGTAACCGCTATCGATGATTCTGTGGACGTCCTCTTGGACTTCACGAATCGTTAAAGCCGAGTTGGCACGGCACGCTCTTAACGCCGTTAAAGCTTCAGCTTCAAGGTCTTTTCTCTCAAGCTCTTCACCATCTTTGTTTCGCACCAAAACTTCACTTATCAAGACTCGTTCTTCGTCATACCGACTCAGCGAATGCGCCTGCCCCTGCCCCTTCACTTGCTGAGTCGGTGACTCAGTCTGACTCGATGGCGGCGGCGGCTCGGGTGCCGGTTGACTGAGCGATAACGATGCCGAGCATAGAAGCGGAGAATTCGCTGCCGACTCGGACTGAGCGAGAGACAAGGACGCCGAACAGAGAAGAGGAAGCCTCTCCTTGTTCTTTCCGAGTAAGAGTGCGGCCGCCGAATGAAGCTTCTGACTCAATGACACAGAGCGAGTCGACTCAGTGGAGCGAATTTTAAGCGAATCGAGTAGTTGGGAGAGCGAATTTCTGGTTTTGATGAGTGTTTGGGAGAAAAAGGGAAGGGAAGAGTGGGGACGAAAGAGAGGGACTTTAAGAGAGGATGAAGTGAAGCGAACGTCGTGGTTCTCGTGAGGCATTGCGTGAATTGATTAAAATGTTGGTTTGTGTTAGTTTAATTTGAGATTTTGATTTCTAGGGTTTTACGGAGAAGACGAAGAACAAGATAAACCCTTCTGGGATTTGAAATTTGGCCAAATTTCAAATTACCGAATATTTATGAAAAATATCGAAATTTAAAATTTTTAAGTGAAAGACTAAAAATACCATAACTAACAAGATATACGTAATGTGGCACGGCTCTTACATTTGATAAGAAATTTTAGAAATAAAAAATTTGTATTTTTTATTGTATTGTCTATTTTACCCTTATAATTGTTACTTTCACAAATGTTCATCCATTATAAGGTGTAAATGTTAAATTTCGAAAGTTATGAGTCTTGTTTATCACTGAACCTCAGGGGTGTCTAAACGATCAAGATAAGAGAATATTTGTCCGTCAAAATTTTGTCATCTCTCTCTTCTCTACCATTCAGGCTCAGCCGGAACTCTTCGACCCGATTCGGCACCCCGACCCGGAACTGTGCCATCTTTGTAAGTCTCCGAATTACTTACATACGCTTTCGATTATTTATGTTGAACTCGAAATTTTAATGCTAGGAGTTGTTTTGATCGTTTTCGATTGGTGTAAAATTTATGGTTAGGGTTTTTCTTTTTCTTACGTAATTGGGGATTTCGTTTGATTTGTTTCTGGGTTTTGTATCCTGTAGGTAAATGTTCTATCTTTTACTGGGAGAATCAGGGAAAATAAACGAACTTTTTTCTTTCCGATAACCTCTTTGTTTGCTATGTTTTTATCTATTTGATAGTTAATGCTTTAGTAGTGGAAAGAGGCAAAATGTCAAAATCTTGCAAGGGCCTGGCTATGGAACTAGTCAAGTGTCTCAGTGAATCGGATTGTGTTAAGGTCGTCTCTTATTCAATGTGCTAATATCTATTCAAGGATGAGTTTCATTGGATGTAACTCAATTAGATGACGACATTGATTGTCTCTTTTGCTATAGGTTGAGAAGAGATCTTATAGGGAATGTGCTGGAGAGAAGAGCCCGTGCATATCGAGCGAGTGTGTAGGACTAAGAGAAACTTATTTCAATTGCAAGAGAGGCCAGGCATGTTCTATTTTCTATTTTTAGGTTAGGCAATTTTATAGTGCTATGTTTAGTTTTCTCTGTTTACTTACTGTAACCTGTTTTAATTGGAACGAACTAAATGTTGATCACGGGCAAAGTTCTATTCTTTTAGATTGGATTTTATAAATGGAAGAATTCAACATCTGTACTTCAGGTTAATACTTCATAAAGAGACCTGAATTGTAGAAGTATATACTAAAAAGTGATAATCGTGATATATGTGGCTCCTTATTAGAGAGGAGCTTAATTTTGTGGGTATCAGGAAATACCTTTATCTTCCCTATATTGAGGGATGCATAAAATTATGAATATAGGTTCTTTGCTATCATTTTATTTCTCTTTTCTGTTTTCTTTTAAATGTTTTATGTGTGGTCTGCTTTTGCTCTCTCTCTAGTCTTTCATAGGTTGGCCCCAAAGAAAACTGAAATGCTCCTGCAATTGCTTATCACTTATTTATATGAATCCTTGATGAATTCAGATTCTTATGTGCAATCTCAAAGTTTCCATTTGTTATTACATTCTTAAGTAGGGTAGTTGTTATGAAGGAGTGCTTTGAGAGAAGGAAAACTACAAAACAAAAAATAATAATTGCAAGTATTATTTGTTAATTAAAATGTAGCTTACTTAAATTTGCTACTGATGCAAGGATTGTTAAGCTAACTGATCAAAAATAATGCACAAGTGAATTCGAAAACTTTTTGTCTTTTCCTTTAGTTTTTTGACTAAGCAAATGAAGCAAAACTAAGCCTGCCTTCTGTATTTTAAATTTTTGTTTATGGGGTTCATAATGAGAAACTGTTTGATAGTGATAATGCCTTCGAAATCGTCCATGCAATGGTATTCTGCTTCAACAGGGCAATGCCAAGTAATTGTTTCCTATCATTTTCTTGCAATTATACAACTCTTGAGATTTCTTGGTGAGAAGTGTGGTTAGCCCATAAACCTTTCCTTGAAATTAGTCTTACATGAGTAGTCCCAAGTAATTATTCTCTGATGTTACCTATCAAACTTATATAGCTAAGGTGACTAAGGTTTCCTCTTTTGATGGTTTACTTGATGGCTAAAATTAGGTAGATGTTGTTTAGGTATATGACTTCACTAAAGTGGTGAAGGAAAATTTCTATGTCAAATGTGACTGGACAATCAAGTTGTGATATACTGGTTGCTAGAAATGAAAGAAGAAATGATAGATAATTATTTGGTGTTAAACCTTAGGTTCCAACCTTGAGGGATATTCAAGTGGTTAGGCATGTAGGTTATTCCATTTGGGATCTAAACCTTCTCCATGATGATAATGTGTTGTATAATAGTTGTAAAAAATTTAAAATAGGTGGACTAAAACAAATAGAGGTAGAACAAAAGAGCTGAAATGTTATTATCTTCTCATAGCACAATTATTTCATTTCAGGAATGTCACCTAAATAATGGAAGCCATGTGGTATTTATACGCAATGATTGCCCAAGTTATCAAATAAATTGATGTTATATGTCTTGCCACATGTTCACATAAGAAACTTGAAGATGATGGTGGCATGATCTAATATTGCCAAGTGTCCTAATAGTAGTGGAAAGACATCACATATTATAACACTCCCTCTTGGATTTCTGCCTTGATAATGAGAGCTGATTTGTGAAGAATACTATTATTGGACAAATTGTACTGCAATCCTTTTCCCTTGACCAGGTTTAATTCTATTGGATTTTACTGGCAAGGTTTTAAACGAGGCAGTATCGAGCACATCCAGTACCACTTACAATTCATCAAATAATTTTTATTTTTATTTTTTTTTTAAATTAAGGTTTTTATCCTATTGGGATTTTTCATAGTAAAGTTAAACACGATTATCAGTAAGTGGTGGAAATTGAAAGGGGAGTGTTGTAATATATGGTGTCTTCTCACCTCTATCAGGACACTTACCAATATTTAATTATGTCACCTTCATCTTCTTGTTTCTCATGTAGGCATGTGGCAAGTCATATGGCAACAACTTATTTGTCAGCTTTGGCAGTATCTGCCTACCAATACCACATTCCATTGTTTTTTATACACCCTGACAAGGAAGGAATGTTGTAATGAGAGGATAATAACATTCAAGTCCTTTAGTTATTTCTCTATTACATTATCATCTCTTATATTTTATATTTCACATAAATTATTATAGATTAAAAGCTGCAAGTTTCCTACTTCTTATGTTTGTAGGGTTCAAACTCGAGTTTGTTTATATGGATTTGGAGGCTTTTTGGGTTATTACTAAAAATAAAATAAGGATCAGACATAGGATTAGGATTGCATCACACAATCCCATGAGAGCTATTATTTTTTAAATTTGACAGTTTGCAGTAAATACTATTGTTCAAAATCAATTTACCTTTCATTTTCTGTATACGAGGCAATTGAGGTGATGGATTCCATCTCCTCTTTATCCTACTGACTATGTTGGGAGCCATCATTATACAAGGCAAAACTGTGAGCAAGCATAGCACTTCTCACATTTTCACTAGTGCTTGAGCATTTCTCAAAAATGATAGTGTGTTTAGATATGTTGAACATTGAATATTAGTTATTTGAGGCTCAATTATATCACATCTCAGTGGGACTTTTAGGGTTTTAGTAATCTTTAAAATAAAATTCACTAACTTGTAGTTCCCTTTTTTGGTTTTTTTTTTCCCCTCTTTTCCTTCTTTGTTTTGGTCGGTCAGGTTGACATGAGAGCTAGGATCCGTGGAAACAAAGGCTACTAAGAGACTAAGCTACCCAGCATAAATAGGTAAAAGATTGTTTGGACTGTGCTCTTATACTGCTAATTACTCAGTGGTAATGACTAAAAGGAGATGATGAGGAAAGGAAAGGTGAATGGAAAGCTCCAAACGGCAGTCCACAACTCCAAAGACTTAAAAACAAATTTCATGCTATCCTGATATGATAGGTTGAGACATTCGTTTTCTTTCTTTTTCTTATACAATTCTTGTTTGGCTTTAATGGGGTGTCAGCAACCAGAAAAGTCTTTGATGTAAGATTCAAGACTACGTTCATGGATTTTATGAAAACAGGATAAAGTTTATAAGGGGTTTAAGGTTTAATCCCTTTCTTTTAATGCATTTTATGAGGCAGATCATTAGGATGATTAAAGTATTGATACCGTTGGATATATGGCAAATTTTATCGTTGAGGAACTATGTGTGTTGTTCTTTTGGATCAATACCTGCTCTCTTATTCATAAATGTTAGATTCATATATTTGATCTAAAATTTGTCGCAGAGCTTCCCTATCTTAGTTTCTACCACTTGAATTCAAATCGTATTGGATGTTTGTTACATAATTTTAGCAAACAAAAACTATTGGGTAGGAGGCTTGTGATGAAATTGATAGTAATCAGAAACATATAGAAGTTGATAGGGATTTGATATGATTTCCTGTTTCTTTTTCTTAAGAAAGTTGTGGAAAACCCTTTAATCTTCAAGACTTCAATACAACAGTTGTACTGTGTCGATAATGTTATTGTGTCGACATTCTACGCTTTCTAGATGGATTGACTTATACCCGTTTTGAGGCAAATTATAAGACATGATCATCCAATCCCTCATAATAAGCTAATTAAGTTGTAATCTTTAAAATCAATCAACCCAAATGTCTCATTGTCATTTTTTATTTTATTTTATCGAGCTGTCCGGCTAGTTTTCGTATATCTTAATTGATCTTCGGGACCTTGGAACTATTGGTCGGATAAGAGTTTTAGTGGTTACCCTTATTAGCATTCAAGGAGGGATTAAAACTCAGGATCTCTTGAGTAATACAAAGTATACACTCAAGAGTCTCTATCTAATCACTCGGCCATCCAGTATGAAGATGTCTCATTGTCAAAATTACTATAGCATGAGAATGAAGTAACTTCCTTGTGTTGTATTCCATAAAGGCAAAACTGAAATTTGTTGAATGATGATTGATGTTGATTATGTGATAAGTTCAAACCAAGGGGGGAAGTTTGTGACAACTCGTGAAAGTATAAGAAGATTATTATATGTGCAACCTAGGCATGTTTGAAAATTGCATTTTGTCGCATACTTTGAGAGAGAACAAGAAATTTGCATTAGATTTTAGAATTAATTTCCGCTGCATACGGGTAATCATCATTAAATCCTTGGGTTGGTGTGAATGTCAGGACATAATCCGGTTTACGTCTCATTGCCCATCCCAAGCTGATTTCACCGATTTGGAGCAGGGAAAGGACACGTGGGAGCTCCAGGGCGCTTGGCGGCCTGACGTGTGCTTACCGTTCTGACGGGAGCAGGTCACACTTCGTCACGTGACTTTCCACGTCAGCCCTGTTTTCTCAGGCATAACAGATATAGAGGTAATAAATTTCGTATTTTTTATTTTTATTTTTATGTTTTCAAACAAAACATATGAATGCATTTTTTTATTCCGGGTTTTCACATATTGTTTTTAACAAACATACAAAATGCGTTTTATTTTTCATATTTTTCAATATTCTCTAAAAAAACAAAAATAAAAATTCATAAAAGAGCACACCCGTAATTTAACACAGAATCTTGGTAATATGACTAACATACCCTTATTTTTAGTTTATCTTACTATAAACCAATAAAAAAGTTGGGCTCCGTTTGGTTCACAATTTGTGTTTTTGGGAAAAGTTTTTTGAAAAAAGTTAAAAAAAAAGTTGAATTGGGTGGGTATTACGATGTAGGATTTACAAATTTAAATACCCCCTATGTTTGTTTTTTACCAAACACCCCTTAAAATAAAATATTAAAAGTTAACAAAAACACCCCCAATCCACCCTCAAATCGGACAGCGCCACCACCGCCGGAGGGTGGCCGGAGTCGCCGTAACAAAAACATTAAAAATATTTAGGGGTATTTAATTGAATTAACAAATTAGGGGGTTTAAAAAATATTGAATAAAGTGAATAATATTGTAAGTTTTTGGGTATTTTACTGTTTAACTTTTTTGGGAATACTAAAAGTAGTATTCCCAAAATCCAACCAAACGAAGATTGAAATATTAAATAATATAAAAATATTAAACTCTGACATTTGATAAGAAATTTTAGAAATAAAAAATTTGTTTTTTATTGTATTGTCTATTTTACCCTTGTTATTGTTACTTTCACAAATGTTCATCCATTATAAGGTGTAAATGTTAAATTTCGAAGTTTGAGTCTTGTTTATCACTGAACTCAGGGGTGTCTAAACGATCAGATAAGAGAATATTTGTCCGTCAAAATTTTGTCATCTCTCTCTTCTCTACCATTCAGGCTCAGCCGGAACTCTTCGACCCGATTCGGCACCCCGACCCGGAACTGTGCCATCTTTGTAAGTCTCCGAATTACTACATACGCTTTCGATTATTTATGTTGAACTCGAAATTTTAAGCTAGGAGTTGTTTTGATCGTTTTCGATTGGTGTAAAATTTATGGTTAGGGTTTTTCTTTTCTTACGTAATGGGGATTTCGTTTGATTTGTTTTCGGGTTTTGTATCCTGTAGGTAAATGTTCTATCTTACTGGGAGAATAGGGAAAATAAACGACTTTTTTCTTCGATAACCTCTTGTGTTGCTATGTTTTTATCTATTTGATAGTTAAGTTAGTAGTGGAAAGAGGCAAAATGTCAAAATCTTGCAAGGGCCTGGCTATGGAACTAGTCAAGTGTCTCAGTGAATCGGATTGTGTTAAGGCGTCTCTTATTCAATGTGTCTAATCTATTAAGGATGAGTTTCATTGGATGTAACTAATTAGAGACGACATTGATTGTCTCTTTTGCTATAGGTTGAGAAGAGTCTTAGGGAATGTGCTGGAGAGAAGAGCCCGTGCTATCGAGCGAGTGTGTAGGCTAAGAGAAACTTATTTCAATTGCAAGAGAGGCCAGGCATGTTCTATTTCTATTTTTGGTCAGGCAATTTTATAGTACCATGTTTAGTTTTCTCTGTTTACTTACTGTAACCTGTTTTGATTGGAACAGACTAAATGTTGATCACTGGCAAAGTTCTATTCTTTTAGATTGGATTTTATAAATGGAAGAATTCGCATCTGTACTTCAGGTTAATACTTCATAAAGAGACCTGAATTGTAGAAGTATATACTAAAAACGGGATAATCATGATATATGTGGTTCCTTATTAGAGGAGCATAATTGTGGGTATTGGGAAATACGTTTATCTTCCCTAATTGAGGGAGCATAAAATTATGAATATAGGTTCTTTGCTATCATTTTATTTCTGTTTTCTTTTAATGTTTTATGTGTGGTCTGCTTTTGCTCTCTCTCAGTCTTTCATAGGTTGGCCCCAAGAAAACTGAAATGCTCCTGTAATTGCTTATCACTTATTTATATGAATCCTTGATGAATTCAGATTCTTATGTGCAATCTCAAAGTTTCATTTGTATACATTCTAAGTAGGGTAGTGTTATGAGGAGTGCTTTGAGAGAAGGAAAACTACAAAAAAAAATAATAATTGCAAGTATATTTGTTAATTAAAATGTAGCTTACTTAATTTGCTATGATGCAAGGATTGTTAAGCTAACTGATCAAAAAAATGCACAAGTGAATTCGAAAACTTTTGTCTTTTCCTTTAGTTTTTTGACTAAGCAAATGAAGCAAAACTAAGCCTGCCTTCTGTTATTAAATTTTGTTTATGGGGTTCATAATGAGAAACTGTTTGATAGTGATAATGCCTCTGAATCGTCCATGCAATGGTATTCTGCTCAACAGGGCAATGCCAAGTAATTGTTTCCTATCATTTTCTGCAATTATACAACTCTTGAGATTTCTTGGTGAGAAGTGTGGTTAGCCCATAAACCTTCCTTGAAATTAGTCTACATGAGTAGTCCCAGTAATATTCTCTGATGTTACCTATCAACTTATATAGCTAAGGTGACTAAGGTTTCCTCTTTTGATGGTTTATGATGGCTAAAATTAGGTAGATGTTGTTTAGGTATATGACTTCACAAGTGGTGAAGGAAAATTTCTATGTCAAATGTGACTGGACAATCAAGTTGTGATATACTGGTTGCTAGAAATGAAAGAAGAAATGATAGATAATTATTTGGTGTTAAACCTTAGGTTCCAACCTTGAGGGATATTAAGTGGTTAGGCATGTAGGTTATTCCATTTGGGATCTAAACCTCTCCATGATGATATGTGTTGATAATAGTTGTAAAAATTTAAAATAGGTGGACTAAAACAAATAGAGGTAGAACAAAAGAGCTGAAATGTTTTATCTTCTCATAGCAAAATTATTTCATTTCAGGAATGTCACCTAAATAATGGAAGCCATGTGGTATTTATACGCAATGATTGCCCAAGTTATCAAATAATGATGTTATATGTCTTGCACATGTTCACATAAGAAACTTGAAGATGATGGTGGCATGATCTAATATGCCAAGTGTCCTAATAGTGGTGGAAAGACACCACATATTAAACACTCCCTCTGGATTTCAGGAACGTCGTGCTCATCTGAGGCCACGAACTGATCGATCCTGCTGGGAGTGACCTTAACCACCGCTTGGTGTGAGAAGTGAGCGTCACGACCAAACAATGGCATTTTGCAAGGTCCAAAACCTGGTGGAGCTCCATCAGGTCGTTGAACTCATACAAATGATCCTGCGGGTCATGGTTCCCATCAAACGGTCGCATGTCGGGCATTCTGAACCCTAGTGGGAGTGAAGCAGCTAGCACTTCGGGAGAGAAAAGGGATACAGAGGCGACCTGGGCCTATTTGTTTTGCTGCTCCCTTAACCTGTCCAGAGCTCGCTGTAGCTCCTCAATTTGTGGTAACGGAGCCAATTGGAGGTTGCTTTCACCCATGTGAGTTCGGCCTTCGCGATTATGGTTCAGGAAAGTCCGGAGGTCGGACTCCTCTTCTCCTCGGCCGGCATTTCTGGCCACACTTGACACACGCTGGCTAGAGGCGTGTGAAGGCGATGGATTGCGCGGGGCATTTTCACGACCCTCGCGGTGGTACGAATCGCCCCGCGAGGTGTGGGGACCACCCGCATGATAACGATCGGGATCGTTCTGCTGGCGGTGATAGGAATAATCGCGCCCGGCACTTTTGCTTGGGTTCGCCTGCGACGTGGCATGGGACAGTTCGGGATTCACTTTTTCGTCGAGTCTCAGCTTTGCCGGCA